TGACAGAAACTAATGTGGAACTAGAGTCATTGATGGTAACCAATTGTTTGCGATTAATCTAGAAAGAATGTATCCAGGTGAGAAATTTAGGGTCGATATTTAGTTTTCTGAGTTTTAACAGAAGTAGTTTGTGAGACACTTTATCAAACGCCTTTGAAATATCTAAGATGCAATCTTTAGGCTCCTTGCACTGATGTCACATCGCATACTTTTGAAGACCATGTAAAAGGAGGAGAGGAAAGCTGCTTTTGTAAGAATTTTGAGTGACAGGTTAATCTTTTACAATCTTCTGGGAGGATAATAGCGACGGCCGTGCTTATCCGGGAGGCACAAAGGAGGATCCTGATAAGAGGGGAGCTCCTTCTTCCCCTTTTCTCTGGAGGACATCGGAAATCACGTCATGCGCAAGCCACGTACTATACTTGACCTCCGGTCAAGTATAGAATGAAGCTCATGTGTGAACGATGCAGGCTGCGTTCGGCATGAGAATGATTTCCGAAAACAATGTTGAAATGGACTAAAGAAGCTGTTTGAGTCTAAGAAATTTACTAAATTGGAATAAATTATATTCTCAAGAATTTTGCATGGGACACTGGTCAGTGATATAGGGCGAAAGTTTAGAGGACTATGTTTATCACCTCCCTTGTGAACAGGAACCACCCTGGCGACCTTCCAATCATCAGGTGAAACACCTAACTGTAGGAATTTAGGAAATATAACAGAGAGCAAAATTGACGCATACATCCTTGTATTTTTTAGGAACTTTGAATTAATATCGTCGATTCCTGCTGATGATGAAAGTTTAAGGGAATCAATTATTTTAACAATGCCTTCAGGATCAACCGCTAGCGGATACATTGGCAGGTAGTTATATGATATGCAACCAGAAGTAGGAGAGCTTGAAGGAACCGAGAAACAACTTACAAATACATCATTGAGAATATTAACGCAATCCACAACTAGCAATGAGATTACCATCATCGGCCTTCAATGACACTGAAGTTTTACTGTTTCCTTTCTTGACATTCCAAAACTGTTTAGCATTATTTATTAACATTGACAGTAAGGTGCAGTGAAAAAATACATTTTCGGCTTGATCTACAGCAGTTTTGTATGAGTCAGCAGCAGTGTAATAAGCGACCCATCGTCGACTAGTCAAATCTTTTTTCGCAGCACGAAATAAACGCTTTTTCTTCCTACGCAATCTATTGAGCGCTCTATTAAACCATGGCGCGTCTGAATTGGAATACACCTTTCTCAGAGGGATATAGAAATCTAAAAGTCGATCAAATTCCATTTTGAAAAAGTTCAAATTATCATTAACAGAACGCTCATGAAAGCAGGGTAAAATATTTTTCATAAAAGTGCACAGGTCCCTATTAACTGCCTCAAAGTTAGCTTTACCGCAGTCTCGTACACGTTTGAAGGTATTTGGTACAGCCGGCCGACGGCATTTTTATATCAAAATGTAATAGGCAATGATCACTTAGGCCCGGTAAATGTAATATGGACGAGACTAACTTCGGGCATGTTGTTAGGATAAGGTCTAGTATATTTGCTGATGAGCTGGTAGTGCGGGTAGGTTTGGTTACCATTTGCGAAAGACTTTAATTAAAACATAAATCTACAAAAGTATTGCTTTCCAAAGAAAAAAACTGGGGAAATTCCAGACCACACAACGGTAGAAAAATTAAAATCACCCATACGAATGATGGGCGAAGTAGGGAAGCGAGTGATTATCTTATTGAGTGAGTCATATAAATCTTCACAAACAAAGTTGTTCGCACTTGGGGGGCGGTAACTGACACCCAATATCAGTCGCTTGTGCTTTACACACAGGTCGACCCAGACAGTTTCATTTGGGCTACATACATCGATGATTGAAGATGCAATGTTATTCACAACGGCAATGAGTACTCCACCGCCAAGTCTACCACTCCTATCATATCAATATACATTGAACCGTTTATGGCAGTTAAATACTTCATCGATTTGAATTTTGCTTCGTAACCACGTTTCCGTGGGAACCGCTATTTCATAATCACTGGAATCAATTGCGGAACTCGGATCCTCTCGACAGCGCATGACGCTACGAACATTACCAAAAATAACTGAAATATTACGTGTTTCGAAGGAACACTGCGACCCAATCCCTTCTCTTACCTAGCTTGATGTCCCTTCGAGCGCGTCATGGCTGTCAGCACGATTTTTACGAATAATACGCCGTGCGCTAAGTAATAACCTCGTGAACCAAGTCTTCCCTCGGATCGTAAGCATATACCTTGTTGTTGACGTGCAATTTATTATAACGCACGGAAAACACGGATCCCAGGGACTTTCCAAAATCAATCAGCTTCGATCTCGGAAGTCGCGTCGCAGGTGAAAAATCTTAATTTACAGACAAACCTTTCCCTTTTGGTAGTTTATGTGTGAATTTCAATTCCTATAGCTTCTCCTGCGAAAATGATGGGAATGCTGTTGAAGGCCTTTGAGGGAGGTTAGTCAGGTCTTTAAGTGAGGAGAACGAAGTAGTCATCTACATACCCAAGGACACGTGACCCAGGTCAGAGGGAAGGTTCCGGGCTATGTCTCGGTCACACTGGGATAGGAATAAGTTACGCAGTATTGGTGTCACACATAGTCGAATACATATTCCTTGCTTTTGTATATAGCAATGGCTGTTAAAGGTGACCACTGTGGGTGTAATATAAAATCTCAGGAGGTTTTGAAAAGACTCTACCAGTATACCACTTAAGTTTTGGAAGTCCACACTGCGAATAGCCTCGATGCTGGCGCTGACCACGTCAAACAATGCCTTATGTGGGACATAGTAGAACAGCTAGGTCCTCCACGTCTAGAGAAAGTCCAAACCTTACTGACTTTTCTTTCTGCGTTAGATGTTGATTCACTTCCTCTGAATCAGGTATTAAGAACGTGTCCTTTAACTTAAGTGCTGTAAGGTTACGTAAAAAATATCAAGACACAGCCCCTTGCCATGATCCGTTTTCAATTACAACCACGCTGAATAAGTGCCAAAAATATTTTCGAAAACAACATAAAAATGTGAAGGTTTTCGCTGAATTTTGTTTGCTCATCCCTTACTTGTGGTGGTGACGTGTATGTCTGTACCACCGTACTTCGTTTCATGCTTCTTGTAGCCCTAAGCAGGCGCGCGGTATGAATTAGTGAAGCTAAGTAAATTAATCATATCTTTGGGGTTAATTTAAACATTAGTAACCCTCGTTAGCTTTCAAATATTATATGCATTTTTGTGTGGCCATGACAGCCACACGAAATATGCAAATCGTTTAACTAGCTCTTTAATTAAGCAAAATGTTTTCGTTAACTTTTAAGTTTCGTCCTCTCTGGGTTCATAAAGTACTTTAGAAAATTGACGTTCGACCTTATATGGTCGAGCCGCGCTTTAAACGTTTTATTACAAAATTCGCAGCGGGTGCTTCGGGGCAACACATTTCACCCTTGCGCACGAATTCGAACCAGAAGTAAGCAGACCAAAAGCGACTATCGCAGCCGGTTTCGCTTGCGGAGCTGGCGAAGGGCGAGAGGTCGAGGTCACGGGCGCGATTTGCCGGCTTAGTTTCGGCATAGAGTCGTGTGTAAAGGTAACATTTCCCACTCCGTAGAGCCCACTACAAATTTCCCCGCACGGCTAGGTTATATCGAAATTGAGCAGCAATATTTCAAATACATTATGCAGCCAAAAATATATATTTTATAAAGATAATTAATACATTTAGTTTATTAGTTTACTAATTAATGCAGTTTGCCTCTTTTGTACTGGCCGTTATTCCGACCAATTTGGCCCCAGAGTTTTATATACCTCAAAAGCTGGAGTCACACTGCTTCTACATCATACAAAAGAAAGTTTGCAAACAGATTCGTACACAAGCCACCGTGAGTTTCGTGCTTCGAACTCCGCATGGCAACGAGTTCAAGGAGACACTTTTCACGCGACTGATGCTTGCAGACTGTCTTTTGTATGATGTATAAGCGACCGTTTTCTTGGCAAACGTCACCAGGCGGTGCTCCAGTTTTTGACGTCCCGTAAAACTCCCGTTTCATAAAAAAGATTGAATAAGACCCACATTAACGCAGCTGCTTGAAATGTCGATGAAACGTGTAACCAGTAATTCTTCAGGTGAACACCAAAAGAACGACGAAGTGCGAGATCTGTTCAATTTTTTCCAATATTCTTGTAATCTTGCTTACTCCAATATGTTAAATTATACGGACGAAGTCCCTCGTTAGATCTCCAACTTTGTAGTCCGTGTGGCATTTATGCTTTCTAGCACTGGTGACATAAGCAAGCACAACGCGCTTGCAAAGACGAAGCGAACGGAAGTCGCTTGGGAAGCAAGAGAAAGTTCATGTATTGAAATAGCAAAAGGGTCTATAAGCCGTGTAACCCTGTCCTAACGCAAATTCATTTTCTTTTTATCCTGGACCAACTAAAAACATAAAGTTGTGTCAAATATTGTGTGCTCTACGAGATTATCAAAATGATCAAGGCAAGTTTAAATTTATATTTCACATTACACCAAGGCACCAACACCAAACTTTACCGCTCACTTGGAGGGCCTGAAACCACACAAAAATATTTATAAACAGCCGTTCGCCTCTAACTACGTCCCACTGTGTACATGCGCACGTGCGTCTCCAAGTGCATGAGCGTGTAGCTACTAAGTGTGTACTGCGTCTGTGTTAATGTGGTGCTCTTGAAAACAGGCGTTTTTACTTAATTTAAAATAGAACAACATTCACCGCACGCTATCAAAGAAAAAACAAGAGCGAGTAACGAAGAGACAATACAGAAAAGTGATAAGCCCCAAGAGCAGTGGAGAGTTTCGAGACTGAGAGAATGATGTGACAATGAACACGCTGCGGAACTTATCAGACACGAACGCCATTCCAATACCATCGTATCGTAACCTGCGACTGATAAGAACGACTTTTTTTTTTTGCCTTTCTTTTTTTTTTTTGTCGAGGGGGCGTTACCCTTGCCGGTGGATCACTGCCGCATTGTCTTTGGCACAGCGCTTTTCGTGAACGGTTTCTTTCTGCATTTTCCGCATACGCTTCGGTTGGATTTCGTTGCAGAGTCGTCATCTGTGTTGACCCAGAAGCTGGTTGAAGAAACCTAAGAAGTACTCTGGTTGGACGTACCACCGAGGCACCGAATACAGTGGCTACCGGCGCGGCGACTCGGGAGAACTGCCGCCGCGTGCATCGAGTCCGTATGCTGCCTCTCTCTCCGGTCCAGCTGATCATCGTGATCTCGTGGATAGCTGCGCTTCTAGAATGTGAGTAATATTTTGTGCGTGCTCTATTCGTGACAACGGCAGTGAGATTAGGAAGATATGATCGTTGCTAAAATGAGATACTAAAAACGGATCGCTTGCCAATCCATCTATATGGTTTCTAGATGTAGCGTCGTCTCGGCTGATCTAAAGTGTCACCGATGCGCTGCTACAACACTGACATTCCCTAGTTCAATTGGGGCCGCAGCCTTGACTTGTAATGTAATTCAAGTACGGCCCTTTTTGGTAAGTGGCGCGCGCCCTCAAGCGGTGCGCGTGAGACATCATGGGAGAAACAGTGAGGGTCGCTGTTCCGTCATCTGCTGCTACCGCCGTACCACTGTGGGAGAACCACGTACGTTGCCTACGCTCGCGTTGGGTCCCTGCGTACGGCAGACGGCATGCTTTGCGACGCCGTGTGCTGCGTTGCGTTACCCGAGTGAGGTGAGAAATCCTCAATTACAGCAAGTCAGTCTGCTGCCCCTTTTTTGTACGGGCCATCGTTCTGGATGGGTCACCGTACGTTTTTGAATGGGCCATCCTGCTCTTTTTGGCCGCGCGCCAAAAGAGCGAGGCATCACTCAGGCGTCCAACGTGTTTTTTCGTTTTCCTATGGGAACCATTTGAGCTAGTTGGTACACTTTATTTTCCTTCGCCAATAAAAAAAAATGAACCTCGTCCCAACAACGTTCGAGACAGTTAGCTCGTCTGGATGCATGCATGATTGAATTAAGAAGGATGCTGCAGTTCAAGGGGTAGCGTGCGCCACCAGCATGCAAAAGCTCGACTAGGCTAGACTTGGCTTGACTAATGGGCACAAAACCCTCACAGTTCCCATAATGCCCCAGAGTGCTCACTGGTGACGCTGGCGTTTCCAGAAATGTCCCTCACTCTTTTTTCCACGGTCACGTGCCATTCAGCCTGATGCATACCAAATATTTTTATAAGTCGTGGGCACAGTGGAAGAAATACATTTAGGTGATGACTCTGGCCGCTCTTCCGGTGCGAAGCGAGCGACCAGATCGCGTTCGGAGCTAGCCTCGAACCAGGAGGAGTGAGTTCCGCGCCGCCGCGGAGGGCGCTCAACTATGAGCACCGTGGGTATGGGGTCTCTCCTCGGCGGCCACGGTGTGGGCGGCGTAGCGTGCTCGCCTTTTTCGCGGTGTGGTGGTGGCGTGTTGCCAGTGGCTGGCCTCGTCTTTTGCTTTGGCGCTGTGTCGATCACAGGTGCCACCATCGTGCACGAAGGAGAGCCTTAACCCGAAGAATAAGAAGGAAGAGAACGCAGATTTACGAACTCTGGTCACTTGGTGGCGGCGGTGAGGTACAACAAGAAGCGGTGAGCGAGGAAACGCGGGACCACCGATGGGAGCAACAACCGGAGAGGTCGGTTTGGGAGGGATTCCATACTTAGGCGCCATCGATCCCAGTGCGAGTGAAACGCTCTCAATGCCCCGAACATAAAGTGGTCGGCGCGTAGGACAGAGAGTCATCACCTTAATGTTTCTTCCACCATGGTCGTGGGTCATGGTAGACACACATTCAACATCAACAATAAGAAAAATATGAACCCGAATTTTTATGGCTTCCAAGAAGCTGCAAATACATTGATCAAAAACGATTGTTGCACAAATGAGAGGAAGTGGATGTACACGTCATTCTTAATTTGGCGACGGACATTGGGGTGGACGAAGTGATGGCGGCGCGTGATGGATCAAAGTTGGATCAGACGGGGGATCGCTACTCCGGAACTGTGGTTCGTGGTACCGGCCAATCGATCTTCAAGTACTGAACAAGGAGGGGAAGGTATATAAGTGCGACACAATCGCGCGACAAACGGTTCAAGCAACGTCCTCGTTGTCGTCGTCTGCTTCACACGGCCGAGAAGCGGAGGAACGGAAAACAAACTGGGTAGGAAGCGATAGCAACGTGACTTCCGGCAACTTTCTCCGCCGAGCTTCAGTGCACATGTTTCGGTCTCAGTCAGTTGCGTATTTTTGGCTTTAATGAAAATATATGACTCTGTAGCAAAATATTGATTGAGTAGCCTTCTGACACGACACTAAATCGCCTGGCAAAAAAAAAATTGCAGTGTTCTTTTAAAAAAGATACTGAACCGAAATGCGAATTTCCAGAAACAATGCCCGAGAGCGACCTTCCCGGGTTGGTGCAGTACCCAAATATGAGATTCATACAAATGAAAGATGATCGGATTGTGCTGCTTCTTTGAACGAACTTTTCTGATCGCGCCGATGGGGCAAACTGTCAGCCGGAAGCGGACGATGCGAGCTAAGCCTTCTGGGAGTAGCCGTGGCGGAGTTGACGTACGCTTACTTGCTCTCTCTCTCTCTCTCTCTTTGTATCTCGTTCTTCGTTCTCGTTTGCATTCATATTTTAGAAATATTCATGGGACGCCATATTGCTGGTCGTTGATCGCAGCGCATGCTGAGAACTAGCTCCCATTTATTATCCTCCAAGAACAACGATTCCGGTTGTGTGGAGTGGCCGTCGGACGCGTACCCTCGTACATTTCTCGCAGGCAGCAAAGCTATGGTGGGCTAGGACGGGAGGTGTAACGATCGCTCGCTTCGTTTAGCGTGAGTAAATGGCAATAATGTTGAGCACGCAGCTTTAGCATCGATATGCCCGCAGTAGCGTCCCAATGGCACTCCGCCACACTAAACAACAAGAAAATGTCTTCACCGTTTATCAGATTCGTAAAGTGCCGCACAATGAATATTTTCTTAGCCATAACGAAATCGGGCACGGCACATTGAGGTCCATGCAATAAAGACAGGCTGAAGTGAAGCTATGGTGGGCTTGTGAAGCCCCTCGATGTAATTCACTGGACGCGATATTTGTGGGTGCTGTTTAGAGCGCATGCTCAGAATGAGCTCACATCAATAGGCTGTTAAGACCGGCAGTCTTGATGGTGAGGAATGCACGTTGCAAAAGAACTGTGGAAGCTCGCCGTCACCACGCGCTCAACCTTCGCGCACACAGCTATGGCCGCCAGTGAATACTCCCTATTTGCGGGTGAGAAGCTGACTAGAGGTGCTTCTGTTTTCCTCACAATAACTAGTGCACGTGCTCCTCACGCGGTCATGTTTTAATTTTTATATTGAATAGAAGCGTGACATTGCACGTGCTTGCAGCAGCAGAGGGAGTTAAAGTATCCTCACTCTGCGCTGTGAAAAAATTCCGCCTGGCGGCGATACCCGAACTTCTCTCCGCGATTTCTCTGCAGCGCAGTGTTGGACTAGTATCCACTTATCGATGGCTCTCAGCCCGGCTATAACCCAGCACAGCTCCGGATGCTGAATCACCGAGTCGCTTTCGCAAGCACAACAGTGACCCAGTAAACTGTATTCTTCCCGGCTTTCAAAGATAAAACACTCATGTTTCAAGCACACCGCTTCGCTGAAAATGTACTCCGTGTTTCGGTAAGAAGCGGCAACTCTAATTCAAACAAACACCATTTTATTCGGGAAGCTACCAAGCAAGGTCGATGATGGTAATTTACGGGGCCTGTACCATAAGCGCCACCGCGCCCGGCAAGAGACTCGAACCGACGAATGGAATGGCCGGAGAAGGTCTTTGAGCAACAAGAATATCGAAAGCCATGGTCCACCATCCTTGGGGCACGCGCACTGAGCACCTATTGGAGGGAAACTGCGTTAGTATTCGACGTGAACTCGGCTCAGACCGAACCAAGAACGGATGTTGCGTGATCGTTCGGCGGGGACTCGGATCCATTCCCACGCTTCGTGCCTAAGAAATGGCAATGGGGTTTTGCAAAGGCTTTATTACCCTTGTCACTCTAGCGCTCTTAACTGTCCTTAAGCCAACGATAGTTGAGATCTCCCAACTGTCATTGAGCTCAACTAGGTTGTCCGGTGTTACTACATCGGCGTAACAACCCAAGTTGGTATGCGCGTCAGGGGACACAGTTGGAACCGAAACGAAGCCAAATGATGCCACGTTATTTTTTTTCTAATAGACATGAAAATTAATTATATGCACATTTTTCACTCATTATCAACGCTTCAAACCAAATTAAATAAGCTTTTTTTTCGTTTTTGTTTTAGAGTAAAGAAATTACAATCAGAACATTTCACACGAACTCAAGCGAGAGAGGCACAAAGAGCATTATTGGCGCCGACATTAGAATGACCGCCATCGCCGAGTTGTGGCTTTCGCGACGTGCCGTGATCGTTTTAGCGGCAGCTCTGGCCTGGAATCACACCTCTTCGTACCATATATCCTGCTACGATGCTTTCTAGAGACTTCCCCCAACCTTCAGCAATAGCAAGTGTTTCGCATGCGCTTCCCATGGGCGCGGATGCGGCGGACACCGCCATCTTTACACTCTAAAAAAAAAGGGGTGTAGTACTTACACCCAGTGGGGTGTATGTGACTTGTCCCATATACGACACCCCCATGGGTATATATGCGACACCCCAAAAAGAGGTGCATACATGCACCTCATTTTGAGGTGCACATGTGCACCTCAGCGGGTGCATAAGACACACCCCACCCCGGGGTGTACATATACTCCGTTTCTCACTTACTGGGAATACTGATACACCCCATTTTTAGGTGTACATATATTCCGTTTCTCACTTGCTGGGAATACTGATACACCCCATTCTTAGGTGTACATGTATTCCGTTTCTCACTTACTGAGAATACCGATACACCCCATTCTTAGGTGTACGTATATTCCGTTCCTCACTTACTGGGAATACTGATACACCCCTCTTTTAGGTGCACATATATTCCGTTTATCACTTACTGGGAATACTCATACACCCCATTCTTAGGTGTACATATATTCCATTTCTCACTTACTGGGAATACTGATACACCCCATTCTTAGGTGCACAGATATTCCGTTTCTCACTTACTGGGAATGCAGTTACACCCAATTCTTAGGTGTACTTATATACCGTTTTCCACACCCTTCTCACTTACTGGGAACCAATAAACCCCACTCTTAGGTGTACATGTGCGAAGTCAACAAAACTAACACTAGAACATTTTCCATCAAATTGACAGGAAATGTCTTTGCAGCTCTTTTCCCAGGTTTTAACCGTCAAACGACGGTGTTTCGTGTCATTTTCATGTCCCATTTGTCAACCAGAAAACAATTAGGCTGCCAATCCCACATTCTATCGTCATTTCATTATATGGCCTGGCATCATTTTGACGTCCTAACTGTCAACCTGAAATACAATTGAGAGCTTTTGTGTTACTCTTGCGAATATAACATTGTCATGCAAAATTTTATAAAATAAGCTACGAAAATTGGTATCTGTTCCTACATATTTATTGCTCATAAACACTGGGTGAAACATATACTACAAAAATACACATTAAATGCATGCACCAGAAATGTCACTTGTTTTTTTTTTTTTTTCTTCTTTTTGCATGTCTTGTCTTTTAGTCTTCTTCCTTGGGTGTTGACCACCAAAAAGAGCCATGGAGCATTCCTGAAAAGCAAAACCCAGTTGCATACCATGATTAGATACATATAGGACACTGTCAAGGCCCTACACCTTACTTAATGAGCATTACGAAAAACCAGGAACTCAGCCAACTTCATAAATATTTTGCACACCACTGAAGAATAGTGGGGTGGAAAGTTTACCACTTTAGATACAGATGCAAGGCTGGAAAACCGAAAACACAGATAAAAAGCATGTGTTTTCAATATACTTAAACAACTGATTTTGGCGGTTTTCAACAATGCCAGCCTGTTTCTTATTGCAACTGTGTTTATTTTTTACTAATAAAATGCACAATTAGCCGAAAAATGCCATAAGCAACCTTGTACTCAGTGGCGCCTAACCAGATAAACGAATGCCAACATCAGAGGTGTCCTAATGCAAGCTTCCTTTAACAAAATTTTGGACCATCTAAAACAGTGCTCTCAAACACATTTGAGTGTAGAGGCCAGATAGCCCACCCCCAAAAGATCGAGGGCTTCTGTAAGGCATGGGGGTCAAGAAATTTGTTAAAGGGACCTTACGCTCTCCACATTTTGTAACTTGCAATCTTGACAGTGACATTTTTAGCCGTGATTCATTTGTAGTGCTCCCTGTATCCCTTTCCTGATGCAATCACAAGAATTAAAGTGGTACTGCCGCCAACATACTGGCATTTTGTAAGAGGACAAGAGAAGAAGTACACTGTTGTTGCCGTTGCTTATTTCACTCAGGATATATTCAAGCTCAACATGTCTCGAAAGAATACCTTTTGCTTTTCTGGGAATTTCTGATAGCACCAGTCTGAGCGAATGCTTATATTTTAATGGTGATATTTTCTGAGGGCGAGAATCCAGAGCTCATGAATTTATCTTTGGTGGTTGCTTCTGACAAGCGAGAGTTCATGCAGTTGAAGTGCATCCTTGGGCAAAGAGCTCGTGTTTGCAGCCTACCAGCGGAATTGTCGTGCAGGTGCTAAATACAAAAAAAAAAGACGGGAAGGAAAAATAGAGACTAAACACCTAAAAAATAATAAACGAAACTACATTAACTATGTGGATATGTTACAAGAGCATAGCTACGTTTCCAGCGTAAATGAATAGACCGATCCCACCAAGCGTTCCACGCATGCGTGATGCCGCCATAACTGTAATTCGTAGGAGGCAGACGCCAGTTCACGCGACAGCTCATGCTGCCTCGTGGTCTACTCGCGCAAACCTCCAGCATGGTTGTCGCGTGTGTAGAAAGACTACAGCTCCCACGATGCATATCGGCAGCGGTGGCGTACTCAAACTAGCTGGTGAGATCGGTCTATTAGCGACATATTATAATGCATGCCATTTGTAATGCTCGTTATGAGAACGGGAGCTTGCAGCTGGTTTCCTGTGGGCCGTGTTCAAGCAAGTCGCGAGATGCGTCTTCAAGCACTGAGCAGATTAATTTTACCCAGTTATTACCTGCCAGTGCATCATAATCTGTACAATGGTGAATATATTCCGAGACACTACTTGCTAGCAGCACAGGCTAAACAGTGCCCGAAGAGGGGAAAGGGCAAGCGCTAGAAAGGCGGGTGAGGAGAGTAACCTCCTCTCCTATCTAACATTCGTAGTGCTTTCCCCTCTCCCCCAGCCCTGCCCTCCCCTCCCATATGCCTTCCTAGCGCTCGCCTTTTCTCTCTTCGCATGGCATTGCATTCACCTGCACTACACACAACTAGTGACACTGAGTATAATTGAAGGACGGTACACTCACAGATGTCAAAGCACTTGAAGAGTTCGCAACTTCGGTGCAATGCCACTGGTTGCACTTTTGTATCGCACTTCAGATGGGTTGATTTGCCCGAAGTACCTGGAAAATAATAAGAATGATAGAATAAATTAATGTGCCATAAACCAGGGCTGGGCAGACACTCCAAAAAGTATTCGGGAACACTGAGATACATCTGCTTTAAGGCCAAAAATACAGATACTGAGATACATTGTCTTTTATGCGATGGTATATCCCCGAGACACTTCTGCGAAACTGGTGAAAAAGTATTCAGGAATACAGATACAATGTGTAGTTGTATCTGTATTAGAGGGTGTAGTTCGTGGGGAATATGTACGGTCAGTGGCGTTCCAACTTGTTTTCTAGTCAGGAAGGGGGGGGGGGGGGGGGGGCGGGGGAGTGCTCTTGGTATCCCTTGGGCGCCGCCGGCCAGTCTTTAACCTGCCCTGACATGCCTCGCGCCCTCCTTGCCCCGCCCCCCCCCCCTCCCCGGTTGGTACGCCCATGTGAATGGTATCTATGCTTTGCTCCTTTTTGTGCCATTTTATATGCGGTCCTTCTTACTTCAAACTCTTTATTTATCATTAATGCCGCTAAAGAAAACATGTCGCCCCCGTTGAATCAAATAGTTACAAAATGGTAAAGACTGCGTACCATGCTTGACGAAAGGCGTTTGCCAAAATTAAACCTGTTTTGCCGTGAGGGCAGCCTGTGCATCAGAGATTTGAATCATCAGTACATGTAATCTAACCAAGTACCAAGCCTAATCACACAATATAAGCCTAGCAGCCTGACAAGTAAAGAAGAAAAGAAAACAGGGTCCACCGGATAGTCAATTGCTCACCTTGCCAGACGGTGCCTCGGGACTATGGCGGCATCTGCTAGGTGCAGAGCTTCTAGTCTGTGCGTCAGAGAATAGGCATTAGCAAACATGATCTATCCAAGCACCAAGCCTAGTTTCACAAGATACGCTAACAACCTGAGAAAAAGAAAAACAGTCTGCAGCATAGTTGATTGCTTACCTTGCCAGACAGAGCCTCGGGACTATGGTAGCGTCTGTGCTACAAGCAGAGCCTCTCGCCTGTGAATTAGATTACTCATTAGTATACGTGATCTAGACAAGCACCTAGCCTAGTCACACAATTTTACTTAGCAGCCTGACAAGTAAAGAAGAAGAAAAAAAAAATAGGGTCCGCAGGGTAGTGAATTGCTTACCTTGCCAGAACGTGCCTCGGGACAATGATGGCATCACTGCTAGGTGCAAATAGTCATTAGTAAACGTGACCTAGCTAGGCACCAAGCCCAATTTCACAATACATGCAGTACAAACTAAAAAAAAACAGTGCAGGATAGTTGGTTGCTTACCTACCCAGAAAGGGCATCGGGACTATGGTAGCGACTGTGCTACAAGCAGAGCCTCTCGCCTGTGCAGTAGAGATGAAAGTCATTAGTACACGTGATCTAAGCAAGCACTTAGCCTAATTTCACAATATATGCTTAACAATCTGACAAGAAAACAAAAATCAGCAGGATAGTTGATCGCTTACCTTGCCAGACGGTGCCTCGAGACTATGGCGACATCTGTGCTAGCAGCAGAGCTTCACTCCTGTGCGTTAGAGATTCGAGTCATTAGTACACGTGATCTAACCAAGCATCTTATGTTATCTCACACTTCACAGGTGCCTGAGATGACTTGCATACTACAAGCACAAGGAGACACTCGCGTTTTTGAACCATTAACACTGCGACACTTAATTGTTGCTGTAGTGTGACAAAGTGTATGCTTCACAAATGAAAAATGCAATAAAACGTGTAGTCTAATTTTACAAATTTTGCCCAAGAAAGAGTCTGACAAGTAGGGTACCAACATGATAATTCAAAGTTAGCCAAACTCGAGCTTCGCAAAAGTTAGCATCCGCGGGTACAGCCACTACACATGTTTCCGAATAGAGCTCTCAAAGTAACGCCAAACTGAGCACCACACACACCGAAGCTGGTGAATGCTGTCCTAGAGTTCCTGCATAGGCTCTCTACGGGAGTCAGAGTTGCGCGTCTGTTATCCACACGCTGACACGCCGCTATTCGCCTAGATCCGATCATGTGAGGAGCAAAATCCAAATACTGTGCAGGAAAGCCGCCGATACGGCCGCTTCGCCGACGTTGCAATCTCCTCAGCGTACGTTCCCCTGCTTTTGTCTCCTCCTCCTTTCCTGTTTTTCAGGAAAGGAGAAGGAGCACGTTGCTATTCGCCCAATCCAGTGAGATGAGGAGCAGAATTTCGTCCCCTGCAGGAAAGCCGGTGCTCCGGGGTGAACGCGCAGCTCTGGCTCAGGGTTGGCAGGTTGGGCTATAAACAGCCCAATTGGGCTACTCAGTTTTGTAATAGGCAGGAAACTCTAGTGGTTGGCTATTAAGCTATTTCATACCCGATATTCAACAATGTTCAAAGCGTTAAACATGATATTTCTGCGCCGGGTAGAGAAAAACAATCAACTCAAGAGGTTTGGAAAGGAAAATATCCAAATCACAAGCGTGCAAGTACAATATGTGGACCCTCATTGCTGTTGGTTGCGCAGGTGCAATATCGTTTTTCCGAAGTTTTTTGACACGATTTAATACCGCAGGCAGGGGTGGAGGCACGTGTTTCCAGAAGGAGGGAGGAAGAGGAGTGGGGGCAGCTTAACAGATGTTTGAGAACCCCTTTCTTTCGCTGCACTAAAATATACACGGGGACGCTTTATCCTCCTAATGCCTTCTTCTGTAAATAATTGTCTTATGTATCATGTTACCCGTGTTCCAAAGAAATGTAAATACCTTGTATGAAATTTGATGTGTTGGGCTATTTTTATAGCCCGACAATTGGCTATTCTTGGGCACAATATCAGGAAATTTTGACGGGTTAATCTGCAAATACCTGGCAACCCTGCTCTGGCTACCGTAGGGGGCCTACGCAGGAACTCCATGCTGCCCTAGAGTTCCTGCAGAGGCAGCCTACGGGAGTCAGGAGTTGCGCGTTCATCCCAGTAGCTCCGACTTTCCTGCACTTCAAGTCTGCTCCTCACGTGACTGAATTGGGGGAATAGCGGCCGCCGCGCTCTACCTCCTCATTTCCTGGAAAGCAGGACAGGAGGAGGCAAAAGCGGGGGTATGCACACCGAGGCGCTTGCACCGTCGGCGAAGCCGCCGTACCGGTGGCTTTCTTGCGCGGCATTTGGAGTCTGCTCCTCACGTGATCGGATATCGGCAAATAGCGGCGCGGCGGCACGTGGAAACCAGACGCGCAACCCTGGCTGGAGCCTATAATCTCAATGCTGCACTGGAGTACTAGTTCCTGTATAGGCTCCCTACGGGAGCCAGAGTTGCGCGTCTATTTTCTACGTGCCGCCGCGCCGCTATTTGCCGAGATCCGACCACGTACCGTGCAAGAAAGTAACGTTGCACGCGCCCCGCCGTACGCACCCCTGCTTTTGAGCGCGCCGCGCGCCTCGTCGGTTCGAGAGTCAATGGTGCCAGTTCCCTCTCCCTCTTCGTAGTGGCCGAGCAGGGAGGGAATATGGTTTCGTTGTGTCGACCTCGGGGGCGGAAGATCACGCACGATGGGGACAAAGGCGAGTTTGGGGGAGCAGCATCTAGGTCACAGCGCCTCAATGGTTGAACAGGATGTAGCTGATGTTTGGGATGTGGAACGGGTAAGAGAGGCCTTGCGCGCGCGTTGTTTTCTCGACACTTAGCCTAGTGTCGAGGTGGCAGCACATATTCGCCAAGAGGTCCAAAAGTCGCGTGAGGAGCTGGATCAATATGCCGTGCAGGAAAGACGGCGCTACGAAGATGAACGCGCAACTCTGACTCCCGTAGGGAACCTATAAAAGAACTGCCTTGTCCCGAAGCGCCACCTTAGTTCCATCATCCCCACCGAAAATCGCATTGCATAACCATACGTGCGAGCGAAGCCGGTAACAAGTGCGAGCATGTTGCTCTGCAATCGAACTACGTTTCACCGACAGATCGTTTTATAGATACGCGATGATTCATCGCCAGAATGCTTCATCGACAGCACAAACTACCTTTTTTCTGTAAGGAGCTGCCTCACACTGTTGCCACGAAGCGGATAGAACGTGTAGGATACACCCGCGACGAAATGTCCCTACAACGCTAAATCCGCGTAACGACTGTCGATGGAACGGTAGTGTCGACGAACGAGAGTCCATGTAACATCTGTCCACAAAAAGTGTTTTTTGGCGAAACGATAGAGACCCGTTGCTCTGAATGACGCCAGCTCTACACGCAAGAATAATGTCTCGAAGCTGCGATGTCGTGCTCGTTTGTACACACAGAGAACCGGGCACCGCCACCGCGCACACATGCAAAAGCGAAGTAACTCTGACATAAACAGGAGAAAAAGGAAAGCACGTCCCCAGCTAGCAGGCCCCATGCCTCGCAAAACGCAGTATCCAACGAGTGCATGTAAACGGCAGACTTACCTTCATCGGGCGGGCACATCTTGGTTTGTGACTGCAGTGCAGCTACGTGCCAAGCATCGCTTCGTGAACACGATCCGCTTTGTCCAACCACCTTCTAAAAAAACACGCAATTCAAAATAGCGCGAATGAACAAAGGCGATGTCACCCGCCAGCCGAAGCAAAAGTATGGCCGCCGAAGCACGCCGAGATGGAATGCAGGAGGTGAGGAGGTCAAGTCTCCTGGCAACACGAAGGCCAGATAACGCGCGAAACGCGATCGCTATCGCGATAGGTTGTCAGTCGGATGACGTGTAACCAGTGACTGCTAATCAGGACGCGCGCTCTACTCTATTACCGCGCGCATTTTGTTTGTTTTCTTGCGCTCTCCTGATAGCACTCCCTCTCCCCTTTTTGAAAAAGGAAAGGGGAAGGGGGGTGTAATGGTGCACCTGGCAACACCCTCGCCTCGCCCGCCGATTCCTTTGGGAGAGGAGGATTCACATGATGGGAGTACGATTACGCTCGCCGGGTGTCTCCAGTCGAAGGGGGGTGTAAGGGTGCGCGATACACCCACATACACCCTTTTTTTCTGAGAGTGTAGCTCTATCGGGGCGAACCAGCTGGGGCGAACCCCGATCAGTTATACTGCCTTTCACCTAATGTTGTACTGCAGCGAAAGCTAGAAGCGCGAGCTCATAGCGTTGGCAGCTACCCTTAGTACACGAGAGCTTGTGCTGCCGAGATCTGCCTAGAGGAAGGAGCTCGCGCTTGTAGCCTTTCTTGCGGTACATCTTAAGGTGAAATAGAGTGTAACTGAGGTAAGGCAGTTCAGTCAAACTCAATGATCGTTAGAGGCCTAATGACTGTTGGTGCTACCGTGTAACTCCGGCGGATCGCGATTGAGTCAACTGTCGTCGGCTTAATAACAGTTAAGAGCACTAGTGTAACTAGGAATGATTGTTAGCGGCCTAATGCCTGCTGGCGCCGCCGTGTAACTCGGGCCGATCGCGATTGAGTCAAGTGTCGTTGGCTTAATGACAGTTAAGAGCACGAGTGTAACAAGGGTGTTAGACCCTTTTCAAAACCCCATCAGGCAACACTGACCTCTCGTCACTTTCCCATTTATTCCATCAAGCAACATTTCGTCCCCGTCCACCAATCCCATCACCCACGCCATTATATTTTTTTTTTCATAAACAGGAGGTTATGCATACGCCGGCCTCTCAAAATTAATTGGGCCACGCAGCCCTCTTTTATTTCTATATTACTGTCTTGGGTTGATCCCAATTAAAATTAAATTTGTTTACTCGGAGTTCCCGGCTCTCTAACGTAGACGAGTTACACGAGTTGTATAGAAGAGTTTGGAGACGACCGTTGTAGGCTAGCGTTGTTCCCCGATGTTCTCGATGTTCTTCACCAAGAGAGAACGCCGCTGCCACGCCATGGAAGAGCCGTAGCGCAACGCCCTTTTGAACAGGCCGTGTTGTATAGTCACGGTAACGCTCCCCAAAAGCATATACCCACAACAAGAAGAAAAACGAGCAGCCCACGGGCTTCGAGGGTCCATTGTTCTACGGCGGATTTATTGCCTGGGGCTTCGGTCGGGGCCAACGAAGGTTGGATGCATCCAGGAAGAGCTGCTGTGTCGGCTGCCCTTTGTTCGCGGCGGCGGTACACACGCCTACGGGCCGCCTTTTGTAGCCGACGGCAGCGAGGCCCTCGCGTTTTTTGATCTCTCAGCATTCCGTTAGCGTGCTGTCGGTGTCGGCCTCCGAAATTGAGCTGAGAGGACACGGCTTTGACAATAGACGCTTAATTAGTCGAGTAGCAAGGAGCGTGCGCGAGTGTAGTTACAAGCGCTGCGCGTGACTGCACTGCGCGTCTGCAGCAGTATACCTGTTCGAGGGTAAAAACAAAAAAAAACTAGAACAAAGGGGACTTCGCACGCACGTTCATAAACGCCTTATGTTCATTGTTTATCGAATCTGTTAAAGAGATAAGTCTAGCGCATGTAGCGCGTATGAATGCGTTCCCAGCATTCTCTTTGACGCTATATGAAGCATTCACTGGCGGCCGTAGTTGGGTGCGTGGCGGTTGAGCAGACTGGAACGGCACTTATTACAAGTAATCAAATTACTCAGAATCAATTAATTTTTGTATAATTTTGTGATAATTTGGATAGATTTGTTAGGAGGTGATCACAAGAGTAACCTGATTGCTTTTAGATGTACCAAAAATTACTCGTAGCGGTTACTATTTTTTCCTCTCATCTTTAATGATGCCCTTTGTTTCTAGAATATTCAACCATGTAATGCTCAAACCAGGTTTCAAACAGTATTAAGAATATGAGTAGTTTATGATTCGGTGATTCTAATCCAACCGTGAACAGTACTGAAGATTTGTATTCGAACCGGGCAGGGAATCTGTCCTTTTGAAAATCGGAAGTAATCGGAGAAGATACGTTTTCCTTTGTTGTTGCTTTTAATAACTGCCAATTGCTTTTTTTTAATCAATCAAGTAATCTAACTGAAATACGTTTAACCAAGATTAATTGTAATTCTCATCGCTTACTTTTTGTTTTAGTAACGTGTGCAAGACTGCTGCTG